AGCCTGATGCGGGACTCATCTCAGGACCTTGGGATCATGATCTGAGCCAAAGGCAGACGCTTCACCAACTGAGCCGCCCAGGCGCCCCTTAAGTAAACCATTTCCTGAAAGGAAGTCTCACCAGTGCTCTAGATCAAGGCTTGGCAATCTGTGTGCCACATCCCGCCTGCCTTATCATGATTTATTGGAACACAGCTATATTCCTTCCCGTCTCTGCCTCCTCCGGCTGCTTTCACGCTAACATGGCAGCATTGCGCAGCCGTGACAGAGACCCCGTCCTTGGCCCATGACACCTAAAATATTGCCTCCCCGTCCCTTAATGGGTAAGTTTGCCAGCCCCTGGTCTAGATGAGCTTTCAAGTTTTCTTCTCACAATCCCATTCAGCATGTTTGGTATCTGATGCCTTTTAAATGAGGCTCTCTAAAAATCTAAGTATTGATTATATATTCCAAGATCCCTTCGTGGATTTTGATTGGATGCTATGTTTGGTTGCTGGGTTGGTTCAGTTAGGTTTGTTTCTAGGTGTAAATCAGGGGCTTTGTACAACACCTCCTCTTCTCGATGTCACTAATGTACATCCCTTATACCCGCTTCTCATCCCTGAATTGGGGCTCTTGTTTCCCAACACCAATCCATGCAGGGAAGCCCGTCGTTAAACCAGTGACATTCCTGTTACCTCCGTGCACACAGGAGGTCATTGCTGCGTCTTTCAAGAACCCTGTTTTCCCGGGCGCCTGAGCTGCTCAGTTGGTTAAGCGTCTGTCTTCGGCTCAGGTCATGATCCCAGGGGTCCTGGGATCGAGTCCTGCATCAGGCTCCGTGCTCAGCAGGGAGCCTGCTTCTCCCTCTGCCTGCCTCTCCCCCTGCTTGTGCTCTCTCTCTCGTCTCTCTGACAAAATCTTAAAGAAAAAAAAGGATTGGAGGCAGAGCTAGGGATAGGAGACTGGCTTCCACTGCTGGGTTTGCTGGGGCAGCCGTTGTCAATTTCCCCCGGAGTAAGGTTATCAACGGGTGGAGTCAAAGCCTGATGTCAGGATTCACCGATTGGGTTTTCCAAATGCCCAATATGGGTCAGCCAGTCAGAAATCAATCAGGCCTCCAATGGGGAGACCACATGTCCTCTTTCGGTTCCCCAGGTACATGCAGAACACCGTTTTGCATAGAGTGCCTGACTCAGCCTCTCCCACGGTCTCTGTTTCTTACTGCTTGCTGATGGGACTCTCGTCCACAGTGCAGGGAAGGCGGCTTCCCCCAGGACCTCTGGCTGGGCGTCAGCGCAGATGCTGTGTCTGTGTACAAGCGCGGGGAGGGAAGACCCTTGGAAGTCTTCCAGTACGAGCACATCCTCTCTTTCGGGGCGCCACTCGCAAACACGTACAAAATCGTGGTCGACGAGAGGGAGCTGCTCTTTGAAACCAGTGAGGTAAGAAGCCAGCCACGGAAATCATTTGTGGCCTTGACAAGAGAAATGCCCCATTTCCTGATGCCTTGGAGTAATTTTGACTGTTTTGCTTTAAAACATGAAAATACAGCATGGTGGTCCTTCCCAACTGTAGGTGCCCGGAGGGCCAAAATCGAATCCTCCCAAATTTCTTCTCTACCTCTGCAGCCAAGAAATTTGGTTCTGTTCTACCAGTGGGTCTTAACCACAGAGGAAAGGAAATGATGTAATGTCCAAAATATATATAGTGTGGCAAGGAAGCCTTGTGCCACTCAGCAGATGATGATGGCAGAGAATCGCAGCTGCAGGGAGCAAGGGGCATGACTGACCGCCCTGGGCGTCGCTAATTTTGGCTCACAAAGTCACCCAAAAAAAAGCCTCTCAATGTGTGTGCCCTCTGCTCCAAAGCTTAAAATGTAATCATCATCCTGATAAACCAAAAAGCCTAGTGAGGGCTCCTCTTAGGGAGCTGCTAGCAAGCAGAGGTAGAAAATGGAAATGAATGACCCACCAGCGTAGCTGTTGCTGTCAAGTCCTGGGGAGGTGGCAGTCTCACCGAGGCTGCAGTGCGGGAGGCGGACTAGGCTAACGGCCGGGGAGCAGGCACAAGGCAGAGGCGGCACCTTTGACCGGAGGGTCCCAGGCGCCCGGCTGCCAGGCCTGGCCGACTTCAGTAGACAGAGCCACCGTGGGGGGGTCTTTGATGGTGCCTGGTGTGATGCCCGTGACTGTGCCAACTGACATGGGGTGGGACTAGGAGGGAGGGGAGATGAGGGGAACAAGGCGGTTAGGACACCTTAAGAGGGATGCAGGCCAGCGTAAGGAGGGGCAGCCCCCCGCCCCCAGCCTCGCTCTGTTCTGCAGCTGCATCATGGGGCGGGGACACTGATGAGCCAGCGTTTACCAGCTGTGATCGTGGGCTCGGTCGTTCGCCAGTATTTTAAGCGGGGATAGTAATCCCAGCCCTGGTGATACCGACAGTGTCCTCGAGGTGGGTGGGTGGGTGTGTGTGGGTGTGGGTGTGTGTGTGTGTGCGTGCGCGCGTGCCGACAGTGTCCTCGAGGTGTGTGTGTGTAACCTGACAAGTGTACACCAGGCAGAATTGTCGTTTTCGTGTGAAAGAACCACCAGGTGGTGCCCACCGTATTCGGAAAAGCCACGCTTCCCCTGCCCGCTGACTGGGAAGCGGGAAAAGCCGCTGCAGGTGGAGTCCGGGACAGAACCGGAGCCGTGGATTCGTGCAGCGGGCTGTTGGCTTCGGCCCGGCCGACCGGGCCTCCCCTCCCCGCGCCCCCGCTGACCGCGCGCCCGTTCTCCTTCCCCTGCGCAGGTGGTGGACGTGGCCAAGCTCATGAAAGCCTACATCAGCATGATCGTGAAGAAACGCTACAGCACGTCGCGCTCCGTGAGCAGCCAGGGCAGCTCCAGGTGAAGGCAGGAAGGAGTCCACGCGTCTCCCACCTCCCGAGCTGCCGCCCTCTGGCCTGGGCCGGCGCCTGCGCAGAGCCAGGGCGGAGCCGCCCCGCCTCCCGGAAGCCCGTCGCCGGAGGGAGGGGCCTCCGAGGGTCCTTCCGCCCTCAACTTCCGCGAGCCTGTATGAAGCTGTCAACCTTAACAGTCAGCCCCCTTTCGAAAGCTTTACTACTCTTAGATGTCACATGCCTTAAAAAAGAGAGGACAAACACCCCTCCCCCCCGCCCAAGCAGCCAGAAGTGCCTTAACGTGTGGACCCAACACTAACTGACCTTAACTGTGCTACTGAAGGGAGAGGCCCCTCCCGCCATCTTGGGGGAGACTTACAACGCTTGGACGGGGAGGGGCGTTGATCCATCAATTCTGCACTAGCCTCCCAGCCTGATTTCCCTACTTTGGGGGAAGGTGAGGGAGCGGGGAGGGGGGACAGGGAGCACAAGGGGGCAGGATATTTTAGTCGGAGCGCTGCTGGCAGCCTTCCCTGCGGACGTAGATTTCACTACTTTGTTTCCTCGCTCACGTCTCTGTGCTTGCCTGTGCGTGCATGTGTTCATAAACTCATCACTTTAATCACTGTCTCAGCATTAAAAGCAAAGGGAAAAGAGGATGTGCAATGGTGTAAACAGTCTGTATATTTTAATAGTTCAGAGTTCTAGTCTTCAGTCGTTACTTTATAAGGTGGTTTTATTAACAGACCAGAATCCTGGATTTTCCTGTCTTTGCTGTATTTCGAAAACCACGTTTTGACTCCCTTGTGTTTTACGTGTAGCCAAGTCTGCACTGTGTCTGCTGTATTATAAACAGATATGCAGCCCATACAGATAATGGTATTTATAAACCACTCTTGACTCCAATGCTGTTTTTAGAACTATATGAAGTCCCTTTGGAGTCTTTAGTTTCTAAAAGATTTAAGTTAAAAAAACTAAAAATTTCTTTGAAGGTGAGTTTGTATCGCTCCAGGTAGATGACCATATGACCACGTCGGGTATGGTGGAAAGAAGCTTCATTCCCTAGGGGTGTAATGTGCGAGCGAATCTTGAAAGGACCCTGACCATATAAATGCCGAGGCTTTAAGAAAATACATTTTAGCCCAAGTTGATGATGATAGTCCAATAAGGTGCCTGTAAATAAATCAGCATTTATGACCAGAAGAAAAATAATCTGGTCCTGGACTTTTATTTTTATATGGAAAAAAGCTGTAAAGCCTTAGGCCAACTAAGTCTGCCCACAAAGAAAAAAAATTGCCTTACCTTTCCAGGACAGCCCTGCGAAATTGTTTGTTGGCTCAAAGAAAGTCTGACAATAAAAGATATTAGCTATCCTGCAGTGTGTTTTCTTGAGCAGGGGGACCTGAAATACATTACATTATGGGGTTCGGGTTTTTGTTGTTGGTTTGGTTTTAATGCTTTTGGCCTCAGTGTCGAAGCTGTGTGTTTCATAAGTTGATCACCAGGTCTTAAAGTGGACATGTAGAGACACAGCACGACTCCAAGGAAGCGGAGAAGATAAAAGAGAGGATTCCGTGAAACCCAGAAATCTAAGGCCTTGAAATGTGTGTATATGTCAAACGGTCTCAGAGCCCCCAAACCTGCCTAATCGTGAAATCATGATCCTACAACCTGCTTGCAGCCATGCTCACTGGGGAGAATACATAGGCTGTTCGGCCACTGATTTGCCCAAAGAGGACATGGGGTCTGCCCTGGGACGTGAGTGGTGCCAGTCCCCCGGATGTCCCTTTCTCTTCCCACTGAATCCCACCACTGCTTGTGTCCAGAGTGCTGCCCCCCCCTCCCCCCACGGGGACTGGAAGTACCTAAAGGCAGGTGCTGCTGAGCACCTGTGGCTGCAGGTGATGAGAAGAAAGGTGAGCTAGACTCTGTGTTCTATTGTCTTTGTTTTCATTTCTAGCCCAGAGGGAAGTTGGCAGAAGGGCCTCTTCCCTCTGTGACTTCTTGTACCCCAGAAGGCTGCCTCTCTTCCCCAGTTGCATATGACGAAGTAGGCAAAGTGAGGCAGAGTGCCCCACCTGAGACATTACAGCAGCACCAACACCAGAACCTAGGTCTCTCCACATGGGCCTTTATGTGCCCACGGCTGGGTTGTTCAATGTTTTATTTAGAAATATCGATTCAGAAGAAGTTGCAACAGCATGTACAGGGAGACCCATATACCCTTCACCTGGTTTCCCCTATGGTAACATTTTGCAAAGCCACAGAACAGTATCACAATTGTCCATTGTAATTAGGATTTTGCTTCCCCATGTTATACAGGACTATAGTCCCCAGTTTCAAGATTGTTGCTTTAAACATTTCTTGTCTGCTATTTTGAATGAACTCTGGGATTTCCTTCCCTCCCTGCATTTCCTCATCAACACAGACTAGCTCAGCATCACCTCTCACTTCTACGTGATCGATAAGCATACTGACAAAAGCCTCTCCAGGCCTGAAACACTGTCTTCCCTTCACACGCCGCGCCCCCCGCCCCAGGAAATCCAGCCTTATGCCTGCCCAAAGCAGGCAGAGATGGGACTGGGATGGCTGGGAGGACTCCAGGGGAAGGAGGGGTGGGGGGGTCTTGAGCTGGTCTTGCAATATGGCAGAGGGGAACAAATTCTTCGGGGAGGGTCCCAGAAGTGGCACCAGCAGAGGTGTGGAGCAGGTGTCAGGGCAGAGGTCAGAAGCCATGCTGTGGCTCCCCTGTCCTAGCGCCATTGGCCTCGGTGCTTCACCACCTCTGGCGGCCTCCCCTGCACCCCCAACCCGTATATGCTGTTGACAAGCCAGATACATGGAGGGATCTTTATAAAATCTAAATCCAACTACATCCGTCTCCTACGAAAAGCTCTCCTATAATTTTGTCCAACCAAAATATCAAGCTCTACTATAGCTCCATGTCCTCTGCCCCGCCTGCCTCTAACCTTGTCTCATTACGCTCCTCCCCACTCAGCACAGATCTCGGCTTTCGTTCCATCCCAATTTTATCAGCCCCCAATTTAGGGTGTTCCGCCCAGCAGCGAGCAAAGGGACTCTGATGTTTTCCTGGTGAAACTGAGTGTCTGTGCTCAAGAAGACATGAGCTATAATTCCCAGGTACCTGGGGCTTTGGCAGAGATGTTCTGGCGAATGTTTATCAGCGGGCTCTCCGGAGTGGGGGTAGGGGGCAATCCTGCTGTGTAGTGTTGGCTGATTTTCATGGTGTCCATATTTCCACCAGGGCTAATTTCGAGCTCCAAGGTAACATCACTGAATGTGGAGTTGGATGGGATGCATAGTTGGCTCCCGAAAGCTTGGTCCTGCACACCACACAGAAAAGACATACCAATAAACAATTTTTCCAAAAGAAATTTTTTCCTATTCATAAGAAAACCTCTAAAGGAAGTAAAAAAGACACTTAGAAAGCTTTAAGCACTTTGTGTGGGGGAAAGTTACTGTGGGAAAAGTACAGACGTTTGCAAAGTATATAGTCTGCTCCTATCTTTAGTTTTCCCAGAGATTTCTTTTCCCTTTCAAGTAGTAACAGGATTACAGTTGATCAGCAGTTTGAGACATAAACAGGGTCTCCTACCCCTGAGGCATCCAGACATTTGATTGGTGGGAATTAGTTTCCAGATCAGGGTTCTCATCATTCCCCCATGACCTGCCAGAAAAAATGAGTAATTCTGGTAACTTTGATCTCTTGGGGGAACTGTTCTCCATAAGTTTACTTACTGACTTGACATTGAGGAAATGCAATAGGCCTCTTGATTAGAAATAAGATAACCCCAATGATCAACATCAACCATAACATAATGTAGTTGACTTTAATTTACTAAATTCTTGTTTGGATCGGAAAAAAAAACACACTATCCACACTATCTCAGTGGGGTTTGCAAAGGAAGTAGAAGAATTGTCTTAAGATGCTTAGAGCCTAGTTGGGGGTAAAAGACATAAATATATGAAATGAGTTGATTGTAACAGCAATAGTAATTGGGCCATCTGCATGTGTTGAAGGGGTCCAGAAAACAAGAGTGCAAGGGAGAGAGTTTTCCAAGGAGAATGTGGTAGGGTTGCTAGAGGGGAGGTGGGTTGGGGGGATGGGGTCACTGGGTGATGGGCATTAAGGAGGGCACTTGATAAAAGGAGCACAGGGTGTTATATGTAACTGATGAATCGTTGAACTCTACCTCTGAAACAATACACAATGTTAATTGAATTTAAAAAAAATGTGGAGCCAAAAAATGAAAATTTGTGATGTGTAGTGTGAGCACATGCCAATGGAACAAATTACTGAAGAAAATCCATGAGGCAAAAATGAGCAGAATGGGGAGTACGTTTCTAAGTACGTCCTTCTTATGCTCTCCTTGTGTTTTCCCCTTGACCATCTCTCTCTGATGTGATCAATGGTGTTAGTTACCATTTGCTCAGAACATATGTTTCAGGCTTGGTGCAAGATGCATCATCCTGTTACTGTGTCCTTCCAGTAGGAGTAGGTGCTAGCAAACCCATTTTTACATTAAGGATATTGAGATTTAGAAAGCAGATTATTTAAGCAATATCTTTGCTGTGCAACAAGTAACTCCAGAATTCAGTGGCTAAAACAATAAGCATTTACTTAGGTCACGATTCTATAGGTCATCTGTTGGAGCTGGGCAGTCTCCCTGCTCATCTCATTCATGACTAAGTTCAACGGTATACATGTCAACTTTGTTGATCTTCCCTTGGCTTTCTCATTTGTCTGGAGCCTCAGATGAGATGGCTGAGCTCTGCTCCATGTGATCTCTCGTTCTCCAGTTAGCTAGCCTTGGCTGATTCACGGCATTTGGCAAGGTCTTGCAAAAACTAGTAGGTACAGGCAAGGCCTCTCAAGGCTTAGCTTCAAAACTGGCACATTGGTAAGTCCGCCATATTCTGTTGGCCAAAGCCAGACCCAATGCCAGACCAGAGTCAAGAGGTGGGGAAAGAAACTCCATATCTTTTTTCTTAAATATTTTTTTAAAGATTTTATTTATTTATTTGAGAGAGAGAATGAGAGAGAGAGAGCATGAGAGGGGGGAGGGTCAGAGGGAGAAGCAGACTCCCCGCCGAGCAGGGAGCCCGATGCGGGACTCGATCCCGGGACTCCAGGATCATGACCTGAGCCGAAGGCAGTCGCTTAACCAACTGAGCCACCCAGGCGCCCAAGAAACTCCATATCTTGATGGAAGTTGCTGCAAAGTCACTCGAGAGGTTGGAGAACTGTGGCCTTTTTATAATCTAACCACACTTGGCTGAAAAATGACAACACTACAGTGGACAGAGAATTCATACCAGGTTTGAGTGAAATCGTGCTCTTCTCATAAAGCTATCCTAAAATCCAACCACTTTCTCTATTTTCCTTTACGTGGCCACACCCCTAGCTTACCACCACCCCTTCACCAGCTTCCTCTGACTGCACACTTCTAATGTCACCAGACACAGATGCCCACTATCACGTCCGTTTTCCAGGTTTTCCCTCAGATTCTTCTCTTGCCAGAAATGATCTTTCTCCCTGTTCGTATCTCTTCATCCGTGACAACCTGGCTTAGATTTTAATTTCTCTGCAAAGCTGCCTGCAGCAGAGACTGCTACCCATCCCCCAGTGATCTGCCCTTTTACCATTTGTCCCTTCATCCCTTTTGCCTTTCATAAGAGAATTCCCTTACGTTTTAGCTTGCGGTGGATGCTAAGCTACAGAATCCATTCCCCAGCTTCCCCTGCAACTTTGTGTGGTGCTTTAAAAAAAAAAAACAAACAAACAAGTTACAACTGGGACACCTGGGTGGCTCGGTCGGTTAAGCGTCTGCCTTCAGCTCAGGTCATGATCCCAGGGTCTTGGGATGGAGCCTCGAGTCAGGCTCCCTGCTCGGTGCAGAGTCCAGTTCTACTTCTCCCTCTCCCTCTGCCGCTCCCCCTGCTGGTGCTCACTCGCTCTCTCTCAAAATCCTTTCAAAAAAAAAAAAAAAATTAACTTCTTGATAACCCTTCCTATAAAAAGGCGAAGTCTCATCCCCATGAATATGGGCCAGTCATCATGAGTCCACTTCTAATACACAGAATGTGGTAGAAGTGAAACCACATAGCTTACAAGGCCAGGTCATAAAAAGTGACACATCTTTACCTGCTCTTTCTCTTGGGACATGCACCTTAGGAGCTCTGACCCGACATGACAGAAATCTCACCAACCTGAAGCTGCCATGCTGAAAGGACTAGGTGAGGAGGCCACCCAGAGCTAGTCAAGCCCCACAGGTACCGTCCCCCAACTGGTTTGTCTTCTCAACCTCAACACGTGGGTGTGTCTTCAGATTACTCCAGCCACTAGCTCTATGCAAAAGACACTCCCTCCCTCTCCAGACCCATCAAAGTCTTAGTAAGACATCTTGAGGCCCAGGATCTTGTCATGTAGATCAAGTTCTGGTGTGAATGAGGCTCTTGGGTGTAGTTCCTCAAGTACAGCTCATTAACACTGACTGGAAGATCTGTGTGCTGTGGAGACAAGTTTCCTGTCCTCCAGAAGCTAACTGCTGCAGAGACTGTCCTTCACAAAGGGGAAAATGGTGGGGGTGGGGGAGGGCACGGAACAGTCACAAGTCTGTGGCATTTGTGGAAAAAGGAGGATGACTCAGGATAACTCCAAGAACCCAGGGGGAAGGATTCCCAGTTAGTGGAACAGAGTCCCAATCATGGGACTGGCGTCATGTACTAAGCTGGATTTCAGAAATGTATGAAGGAGAAAAGTAAATCATTTGGGCCAGGGGACCCATTGGGGTGGCTTTAAACATATCCACAAATTTCTCTGACAGTCCTCCCACGAAAAGGTGGAGTCTAATTCTCCTCTCCTCCTAACAACTAGAGTGTGACAGGAAGGCTACCATGTGAGTCCCAAAGCTAGGTCGTAGAGGGGACACTCGAGCATTTGCGAGGCTCTCGGGACACGTGCTTTTGGAGCCTTGTAGCCGCCGTGCCAGAGAGACCGTGTGGAGAAGCTAGGTAAACAGAAGGGTCCCAGCTGTGCCAACCCCCAGCTCTTTAGGTCATCCCAACGGCAACCGCCAGACGTGCAAATGGTGAGCCTGCAAATGATTCCAGCCCCCAGCTTGCAAGGCGACTCAGCTGATGCCAAAGGGGACAGAGATATGGTCACCCTGCTGAGGAGGTGCCAGCCATGTCAGCGAGCCAAAAAACGAATGAAAGTACGAGGAATGGATGAGATTTAAAACTGTCACTATTGGGGGCGCCTGGGTGGCTCAGTCGTTAAGCATCTGCCTTCAGTTCAGGTCATGATCCCGGGGTCCTGGGATAGAGGCCTGCGTCGCATCGGGCTCCCTGCTCAGCAGGGAGTCTGCTTCTCTCCTTCTGCCCCTCATGCTCTCTCTAAACTAAATAAAATCTTAAAAAAAAAAAAAACTCACTATTTACAGCTGATGTGATGAAGCACTTAGTTTAACAACTGATAGTGTTGGATTTTCTATTAGAATTAATGAGTGAATGTAGCAAGATCACTACGTAAAAGGGCAGTATTTTAAAAACCAAATGAATTTCTATATAGCAACAGCAACAATTATAAATTTTTAAAAATATCTCCTGGGGCGCCTGGGTGGCTCAGTTGGTTAAGCGACTGCCTTCGGCTCGGGTCATGATCCTGGAGTCCCGGGATCGAGTCCCGCATCGGGCTCCCTGCTCAGCAGGGAGTCTGCTTCTCCCTCTGACCCTCTTCCCTCTCGTGCTATCTCTCATTCTCTCAAATAAATAAATAAAATCTTAAAAAAAAAAATAAAAAAAAATAAAAATATCTCCTACAATGTTACCAAAAACATTTAATATCTAAGGGAAAATGTAAAGAAATACGTGTCTTCTGATGCCAAAGCTCAGGACATCTCCTTTATGCTACACTCTGAGTTGACATGTAAATTGATCTGCAAAAGCATTTGAAATGAGGTGAAGCAGAAAGTACTATGATACAAGTATCAGCTAATCATTAAAAACAAAAACATGTTGGAGATACAAGGAAATGGGTTTATAACCCAATTTATTTCTCATACAGGTGAGGAAGCTAAAAGACTCCTAACTTCTAGTTTCATGGTCCTTTCTCTTAAATGAGGCTCAACTTAAAACACACAAGAGATCTAAATTCTAAAATAAAATACATCCCTTCACAACAAAGTGAAGGTTCCATTTCTTGGTTAGTAGAGAGCTCCTGCTTGAAATGTTTATTTTGTATTTTAAACTATCTGGCCTTTCTGTTGCTTGGGAGAATCATGAATTTTTTAAAAGCAAATTTCTGCAGCCATTCAACCAGAGCATGCTACCTAGAATCATCCATGTGAGAAGCACATCGAATGCAAATTGATGCCTGCCATTAAGCCCACTTCTCCTTCCCCTGGTTCCGCACACATGACTCTGTCATCCAGGCCTCAGCTTAAGTGTCACCTCTCCAGAAAGGCTTTTCCTCACCACCAAATATAAAATAGCTAGTCTTCACTGCATCACCATGTTGTAAGTAGCACTAAATAGTATTTCTTGTTTAACTGCTTACTGTACATCTTCCTTAATTAGAAGGTAATCTCGGGGGCACCTGCGTGGCTCAGTCGGTTATACATCTGACTCTTGATTTCGGCTCAGGTAATGCTATCAGGGTCATAAGATCGAGCCCCGCGTTGGCTCCAGGCTGAGCATGGAGCCGGCTTGGGATTCTTTCTCTCCCTCTGCCCCTCCCCCTGCTCATGTAATACATAACCAAAAAATAAATAAAGTCTAAAAAAAAAAAAAGAAAAGATAGTCTCTGTGAGAACAGCAATTTTTTTGTATTTGTTATTGTCACTCTTAACCAGACCATGTCTGAACATGGTGGATACTTTTTTTTTTTTTAAGATTTATTTTAGAGAGCATGTGCAAGTGGGGGGAGGGGGGAGTCCTCAAGCAGACTCCCTGCTGAGCACGGAGCTCGATGCAGGACTGGATCCCAGGACCCTGAGATCATGACCTGAGCCGAAACCAAGAGTCGGACGCTTAACTGAGCCACCCAGGCGCCCCTCAGCAATTAATTCTTAAATAAGTGGAAGCGTAAATGGCAACTTTCAATTTGGGGGCCACCCCAGCTGAGACTCCCCAAGGACAAGAGCCCAGGGCAGAGGTTAACCGCCAGCGCTTTGGGAAGTGCAGCACCAGGGCAGAGGGAATAAGGGAATGAGGCAGAGAGGGATGAGAAGCGATGCAATGTCATGTGCGGTCATGCCGGCCACGGCTTCCCGTGAGCCACCGGGAGACCCTGCAGTTGCTCAGCAGGAGTGGGGCCACATGGGATGTCTCTGCGCACATTGTAGAGGGAAATCCTGCCTCAGAGGAGCCCTTCAAGAGAAGGAAGAAAAGATACTTCCTGGGTTGGTCCTGTCTCCTGTTCCCCATTGGGGGAGTGGGGAGTCAGTCCCCTCCCACTTCCATGTCATCTGTCGTCTCTCAAAGCCACTGGACACCGTACCCCACACTGTGGCAGGCTGAAAGACAGCCACACCCTAATCCCCAGGACCTGTGTTACCTTGTATGGCATAACAAACATTGCAGAGGTGATTACACTGAGGATTGTGAGATCCTCCACGTGCATCCAGTGTAGTCACGTGTCCTTATAAGATGGAAGCAGGAGATCGGAGTCAGCGGTAGAAGATGTGACAGAAGGCAGAGGTTGCAGTGATGTCGAGAAGGGGCCACAGGCCAAGGCAGGCGGGCCACCTCCAGGAGCCAGGAGACGCACAGAATGGATTCTCCCTTGGAACCTTCCAGAGGAACCAGCCCTGCGGACACCTTGGTCTTAGCCTGTGAGTCTCATTTCAGACTGTTGACCTCCAGAACTGTAAGAAGATAAACTCACGTTGTTTTAACCTACCGAGTTCGTGGTAATTTGTTACAGCAGCAATAGGAAACAGATACGCACACAAATGGATAAACAAAGGGAGCATTTCCTCTAACTCTGTGGCGGGAGGATGGAGACACCCCCCCCCCCGATAAGCAAGGTCAGAGAACCTGAGGTACATAAGATGTACCCAATACAAGGACCTGCATGACCGCTTATATTAAGAAGCTAAGGATTGTATTAACATGGTCATTTATCCTACTTCATTTTCCATTGTGAATAACTTCCCAGCTCTGAAAAACATCCCTGGGCCTCACGGATGACTTTTTTTAAAAAAGATTTTATTTATTTGAGAGAGACAGAGAGCAGAGAGAGTGAGCACACAAGTGGTGGGGAGGGGCAGGGGAGAAGCAGACTCCTTGCTGAGCAGGGAGCCCAACGCAGGGCTCAATCCCAGGACCCCGAGATCATGACCTGAGCTGAAGGCAGACGCTTAACCGACTGAGCCACGCAGGTGCCGCCACGGATGACTTTTATATATGTCACATAACCTATACTCCAAATCAGACCACCACACAGCTTAAAATCTGGTAAAAATCCATTCGTACAGAAACTATTTTATGTAGCTTTGATATAGAATGGATAGAGAGCACAGCATGTATTAGGGTAACTCTAGCTGCTTTAGCAAATATCTTCATTTCAATTACCTACCATTATTTTATTTTTTTAGAGAGAGAATGTGCATGAGTTGGGGCGGGGGGGAAGGGGCAGAGGGAGAGAGAGAATCTCAAGCAGGTGCCATGATCAGCACAGAGCCCAATGCAGGGCTCAATCTTAAGACCCTGAAATCATGACCTGAGCCAAAATCAAGAGTCAGACACTTAACCAACTGAGCCACCTGGGCGCCCCTCAATTACCCACCATTGTTAAAGATGACTTCTTGCTTATATAACTGACCGATATGGGTAAAATGTTAGAAGGGTGTTGGATCTGCTTCTGTGGCTATTCAGGAGCCCAGTGGACAGGGGCTCTGCCTTCCTCAACATTTATCTTCCAAGGGTGCCCTAGGCACAAACAAAGTGGCAGACAGGGAGCAGTTGACCAGATAAGAACATACACCTTTTAACCTCCTCGGCCTGGAAGTGATGTCACATGACATCACTTTTATGCGAGGGATGCTGGGAAACGTAGCTCCAGGCTGGGCAACTACCTTTTCAGTTACACTCTACACTACATAAGGGGAGAATGAAACTCTGGTGGACAACTGGCTGTCCCTTGCCACTGTCTATTCCTTGGGCCAAGAAGTATTCATGTGGACTCTTTCCTCCAACTATGGAAGACTCTTCTCACAGTCCAAAAGGAACATTCAAGGGAATTAACTCAAAAACGCTATTAGTTACTACTGCATCCCTGGGGGCAAAACAGATGGATAACCAACAAGAGACTGCTCAATCTATACAATCGAAAAGAAATCACGGATGGATGACCAGGAAGCTGAGGGGACACCACCTCAAGTCCTTGCCTGGTTTCAAAGCCCATTGGTCGAAGGCAAGACTGTATCTCCAGCCCCCTGCAACACCACTATGTGGCCCTGATCTCCCAGTCCTTCACCTAGGGGTAACTGAACTCTGAGGAATACCCAAGCATTTTGATGACTGTTGGACAGGACCTTAACATCTAGAGACACTAATCATCATCGGGGGCCTCTGTTAGGGTGCAGGAATTTTGGGGCTAGGTAATAAACGGATACCTGGCCCAGATCAACTTACAATGGGCCCACTGGGTCTGTGGCCCCATCTGGAAGTCATTTTTCTAGATCCCAAATGTATAATGGAACTAGACATGCTTGGTAGTTGCACAAACTCACATTGGTTCCTTGGCTTAAGGTAAGACCACCATAGTGTAGACATCAAGGAGAATGTTCTGAAATGAATCCCATCCATGAAAAGGACAGTGAATCAAAACTAATATGGCATCCCGGGAGGAATGGCAGGAATTAGTGTCCTCACTAAAGAACTAGAGGATTCTGGGTGAGGCTCCCACTATGTTGCCTTTTAATGCACAAGTATGGGAACCTGCAAAAACCAAACAGATCCAGCAAACGACAGCAGAGTCAACCAAGCAGTAGTCCCAATTGCAGCTGCCACGCCAAATGCTGTCCTGTTCCTAGGTGAGAAGTGCTTGGTCTTAGTGCCTGCACTATACGATTTCACACTCATTCTTCCTTGGAATCCTGTTTTTATCCATTAATTTCAAGTAAACGTAAATCAGAATGTATAATTTTGTCTGAAGATACATGAGATATATAGGATAAGATTTATTTCTTCAAAGAGAGTTACATAATTAAAAATAAACATTACCTATAAAAATAGGGGCGCCTGGGCGGCTCAGTCGGTTAAGCCTCCAACTTTTGATTTCAGCTCAAGTCATCATCTCAGGGTCATGAGATCAAGCCCCACACTGGGCTCCCCGCTCAACTGGGGGTCTGCTTCTTGCCCTCTCCTCTCCCTTTGTCCCTCCCCGTCCCTGCTCGTGCTCGTGCTCTCTCTCAAATAAATAAATATTGCCTATAATAATAAATGATTCATATGGTACTCATTTGGCAAACTTATTAATTCAAAACATGGCCAAGGATCTGTAGAGAAGCAAGACCTGGCTTCATGTAAGTACGTAACAATGGCTAAGTCCATGTGAGCTTTGCTGACTCTGCTTATGCTTGAAGAGGCTCTGAAGAGCTTATCTTTCCTTTCACCACCACAACAGGTGCCTTCCTGTCTCCCCACCCCCAGCCCGTGCTCTCTGCAGCTCATGATCGGTCATCCGCAAACCACCCATAATTACCATCTCGTCTTTACGTTCCACCTGCTAGCTCTAACTCGGAGTTGGAGTGCTCCCTGCAACCCTCTCAAGCGATGACTCTTTGATCCCCAGCCCTGTACCACTGGGCCTACTATGCAGTAATTGTCCCCTTGGTACTCCCAGGCCATTTCTCTTGCTTCCCTGATGAAATCCTCAGGATCTTTGGAGCAATGCTATTGGACCAGACCATCCACACTCCCTCCTCATCCAAGTTCCCAGCTGATTTTCTCTGCACCATTATTCTGCAGACTTCCTTCACATGAACAATCCATCCAGTGTCCTGGCTTCTTGCTTCTTTGACCTCATGTCCTCTTCCCCCTCCAAACTCTAGCCTCCACTGACTCCTTTCTACCTCTTTTCAGCGTCCTCCTGCGAGGAGCATTTCAACAGTTACCTCCTTGGGGCCTCCCAACCATGAAACCGCCATTTCCTTCAATACCCATCACTTCACTCGTGCCTTCACTCCCCTTCTCTGCCAGATTAGAATCTCTGGTCCATCACTCTAATCATTCAATTATATACACCCTCAACTCCTTCCTCATCCCTTCTTCTTCTCCACTTGTCTTGAAAAATCTCATCCACAATAAACCCAATTCTCTAAGTCTGTATTTGAGCAGGTGAATGTTGCTGGAGAAACTCCCAAATATGCCGACTCTCACTGTAAGCTTGTGAGCACAATTTTCTGAGGCTGGCCCGTCACTTCCTCCCTCCCACCTTTCCCTAGGGAACTGTCTCCCATGGTCTCCCCTGTCCCAAGGCCACTATCCCAAAATTCCTTTTTAAACTTTATATCACTATTCCTCCCGTCCCCCAACTTATTTCATTGTGAAAACCCCAGGAGAAGCAGAAAACACTGCAGCCTCTACCACATATTCCAATTTATCCCATGGATTGCTTTGGCTTTCATGTCATTTAGATGCTGACCTTCTCTCCCCTGAGCTCACGGTTTTTATATCCGGTTTCCTACTTGTCTGCATGTGGATCTGTATTAGGCATATGAAGCACAGTATGTCCAAGAGAGGATTCCTCTAAGAGAGAATTTTCTCTCCCAAATCTTCCCTATCTCTACAGGTGTTGGATGTCATCTGTAATTCCTCTCTGTCCCTAACACCTTACATCTGATCCCTTAGCAATTCCTGTTGGCTGGACTTCCCAGATGTATTCCAAATCCGGTCATTTCTCACCATGTCCACCACTACCAATATCTCTGTGACTAGTGCAGTGATCCCTAGTTGATCTCCTTGCTTCATGCTTGTCTCTTCATCAGTGACCAGAACAATCTTTTCAAGAGGAAAACCGAATGGAGTTTTGCACCACATCCTTCACTGATTTTCCACCATCTTTTAGAAAGAAATCTCGACCGTGCGTGGTCTGCTCCGTCCTTCGCGATGCCCCGTCTTCCTCTCCTCTCTCACCTGATCTCCCCTCACTCTGCTCTTCTCACTTTGCCTTTCTTGTACCTTGGGCAGGTCCAGCTAGTTCTAACTTCATGGTCCTCACACGCACTTGCCAACCCCTTTGTTTGGCATGCCCTTCCGTCCAGAACTCCACATGACTGGCTGCCTTCCTTCATTTACGTCTGCTCAAAAGTCACTTCTCTCACCTCCCCATCTCATCCAAAACACTTCCCCTTTTCATTCTGTTCTCTTTTTCTTCACTCTGCCCTGTGTTAGACTGTTATGTTAATGGTCTTCGTGCTCTGGTGCTATTGCCTCTCATGTGGACTCTGGGCTTAGCCAGATGACTTGCTTTGGCCATCAGGACATTAGAAAATGTGACCCAAGCAGAGGCTTGCTAAGTGTTTGCACATTAGGGGATGCCTTCATGGAACTCCAGCTGCCGAGTGGAGAAGTGTGAAGCCGGCCTGCTGAGGCACCTCTGCTGACAGCCATGGCCAGTGGCCATCCAGCATCTTCTAATTGGTGGTAAATGCATACGTGAACCCAGCAATACCATGTGGATCTGAGATGTGCCATTCCAGCTGACCTCTCCCCAACTGCGCATCCGTGAAATCATGAGCAAATAAAAGTTGTTTTAGGCCACCAAGTTTGCGGATGGTTTGTGATCTACAGCAGTAAATGATACACTAACTTTCCTAACCTACAATGTTATGCCTATATGCATATTTGCTCACTGTCT